CACTCGGGATGTCGCCGGACGAGATAAAACCCACAACTACCGTCACAGGCACGAAGTTACCCGACCTAGTTCTGTACCGAGAGCTGTGCATTCATCTCAGTCAGTTGAGCACAATGGACAACGTTCAAGGTGGTCACCCTTCCACGATACTGAGAGCCGTACCGGTGAAAATGGAGAAATACAACGACGGTAGAACCGAGTCGTTTTCACTGCGTCAGTATAAGAGATTAACTCGGGGCAACATCCCAGAGTTGTTAATATCGGTGTTAGATATAAAGCATAATCCTGTGAATATAGGATACCCCAGCATAACGCTGCACATAAAATGACAAGCGCACAAGGTCCCGGAATGAAGTTGAAAAAATGCGTCAATGTGGGGATCTCCGACCTCGGGGACACACGTGGATTCGACGACCCCGGAGTAGATGGTAAACTGTACGCCTTGCAACTGAAAAACAACATTTACAAACGCGTTGAAGTCCCCTCCATCGGTAGAACCCTAGGTGACATAGTAGATGTCTCAGGAGCGGCCCTCAAAACTCGGTTTGACCTAGTCCGCATCGGTGATGATAGATGGGCGGTATCCCAATCGTTCGGAGGCAAACTGTTCAACTTAGAAGATGTTGATAGCACGACCGTCGCCCGAAACAAGCCATATACGCTCGTCTTCACCGACGACGACAAGTGGGTCTTGTTGCCTGCTAAAGTCGACTGGTTTCTCAGCATTAGGCTCGGCTCCACCTACGTGTTCACGGAGAACAAAGACAACTACCTAAACGATGTCGTGAACACCGGAACCCTGCTCGTGGCTTACATCCCGGCTCAGAGACGTAGTGTAGTCATCAGCCCAGTCTCGAGTGTTACAGCCCACATGCTATCAAGTAAACCGGGAGTGCAAAACGGGGTATTGCAGTTGGTGTCTGAATTCGCTGACGTGGTCAACATCCTGGCGAGCCTACCGGCTAACTCCATGCTGGTCATCAAAGTCTACCTAGGGGAACAATCGCAGGATGAAGTCGAAATCGTGAAGGGGATCAAACTCCGGTGGGTGAAACGGCACCAGTATCAGGTTTGCACTGTTTACGTGCGAGTGGGTGTCGACTCCCACACCAGTCTGCAGGGGATCACAGTGACCGTGGAAGACAAGATATCACTCACCAAGATCTTCCTACCCAACAACATACACTTCATGGGGGTGAAGTGCACCCCTGAGAAATTATCAGAAAAACAATTGGAAACTATCTCGTAATAGTATTATAGCAATGTCCAATCGTCATCGGCCCAACGCCACACTTAACGATCTAGGAGACACGGAGGGATTCGATCTACCCGGCGAGGAAGACGCCTCGTACGTCCTGCACTTAAGAAACGGCGTGTACGGGCGGCGGCGTCTGCCAGACGGCTTTATAGAGCCCAAATGGTTGGTCAACATGACCCTCACCGAACTTTATATCTCGTTAGACAAAGATAGGTATGTCTCCGAAATTAGGAACAATGGTATCTTGTTTGGGGCTTTCGTTCCGAACTACGGTATAAGTACTCAACTAATACCGGATCACATGGGTAACATGTTAGTTGCTTCAGGCTTGGAGGCTGAGTTAAGGGTTGACGTCCCCAATTCCCAATTGGACCTTATGAAGGTGAACCCAGGGTCCACACTCGCCATAGAAGTCTACTTCATGGGGGGTGATCCCGTAGAACAGCAACTTTTACCTGGGGTGACAATACACTATAGCGCCCTAACCCTGGGCGAACGTTTCCGTATCGTCATACAACCGGACCCCTCAACGGGTTCTATAGTCCCCTCAGTAAGCCTTGATGATGTTCGTTTGGACGCAAAGTTACCTATGTACCTCTCCCCTATTTCCCTGTACGAGGGTCTAAGATTTGTAAGCTTCAAATACACTGTGCAAAAAGTAAATTACGCACATTTTAAAGATATTTTTTAGAATATATTATATGCACAGTATGGGCCTGTACCCAGACGTAAAGGAAGTCGCGAAGACCCTGGAAACCATAAACGGGTTCCGCTTGAGGCAGTTATGTGATGTAAAACGCCAACTAGAACAAGACCGCGACACGCGGAAAGCACTATATAAGAAGTACCATAGAGCTTTCAATATCGTGGACGGGACTGATACTGCCCTTACGACAACCAGCATGGGACTAGGGGTGGCAGGTGTTGGGTTGTTAGCCACCATCGTGGCTGCACCTATAGTGCTAGGCATTGAAATAACAGCTGGGGTGGTAGGGGTGGCAGGGTTGGTGTTGAAGTTTGCATCCCGCAGACTGCACCGTAAAGCGTTGAAACACAACGAGATCAGGGTTCTGGCCGAAGCAAAGCTGAACACGGTAAGTGAGCGTATTTCCACAGCACTCACTGACAGTAAGATCTCAGAGGAGGAATTTCGTTCAATCCTCTCTGAACTCGACAAGTACCGTAAGATGAAACCGGAAATCCGGTCCAAGTCTCGTAAGTCTGCTATCAGCGAAGACGAGAAAAAAAAGTACATAGAACAGGGGGTACGAAAAGCCCAGCAAGCCTTTATTACGAACACCAAAGAGATCATAGGCGATTCACATTAAACTGTTTCCTCGAGGTCAACACGACATAGTGTCAAGTGCTAGTTCGCGATCATAGTGACACTATTGTGTCACGTGTGGCCGGGAAGTTAACTTGGGATTCAAAAGTAGTATATACGATGGGGGCGAGATCTAAGGGCCTGACAAAAGATTTTTGGCTGACAGGCTTTTGTTGGACTTGATCTCGGACTATCATTGTATATACTACTGCGGTTTTGTTTTTAGGCAAAATTATGTCGATCGTTTTACTTTTTATAATGTGAAAGATATTTTGATTCATTTTTTGAACAATGCTCTTAATTAAATCGTTTCAGTGATCCAGTGTAAGAGATAATTCCATATATGACAAATTGTTTGTAAACTTTATATGGCGGCGGTCTGTAAATAATTGTGTCTGGACCAGACAATCCAGTGATCAACAATGCATGATCATCGATCTGCGCAATTGGGAACCGATGACCTGTGTCATCCAAGCCAGCGAGCCTGACCACCCGATCCCGTTAGTCGCCTCTTACGATAAGCATGGGTTACTGAAGGCTCATTCTAACCCGGACCTTCATGGGTTTCCACAGAAAAGGATCTCTTATTTGAGTAAAACCGCACTCGCCAATATTACAGCTATACTATAAAACATCGGTCTGTGAAATAATTGAGTTTGGACCAGGCAACACAGGATTGATCTACGCAGTTAGGATATGTCTATCAATCAAGTCATCGAGCCTGACCAAGCGATTCTGTTAGGTGCCTCTTACGACAAGCATGGGTTACTGAAGACCAGTTCCAACCTGGATCTTCATGGATTCTGTTTACTATGTAATCAGTACATTTCTAACTTATCTGCAGCCAACGAAAAACAATATGTAGAAGAAAAACAAACCCATGCGAGACATATGGACATGCCATAGAAAAGTACCATTGCGTCTCCTGAAGCAGTGAGTGAGTATAGTGTTATGTCGCTTTTAGCAATATCCCAGCAATATCTCAGCAGGGGACACTAGAAATTTGTTTCATATATTGCGGGGAATCGAACACAGGGCAGGGCAGGGCAGGGCAGGCAAATATTGAAAAAGTCAAAACAGGACATTCAATCAAACATTATTTTGGTAGCTGTTTTATAAAATCTGGAAAGGTCCTGCGCACATCTCGCATAAAACGTATAGTAATCCTACTCTGTGTTGCGATCATTTATCATATTGCCGTTTATAGTTAAACCTGGCCGCTGATTTTGATGAGTTTTAAAGAGGAGTGTCACTGTAGTATTTCACTGTTCAAAGCCTGTCTCTTCATCATATTGCTCCCCAGACAGCTGAATTTCGGGAAAAAGTCTTGTGAGTACAATGAATATTTGGTTCCATTTATATGCAAAAGTGTTTTTGAAGGATCAGTGAAAATTTATTAAATTTGTTAATTTGATATTGGGTAATATGTAGAAGAGAGTCTACGCTTCAGCTAAATGTCACCAACGCTTTAACTAGTGGATCCTATGGTGAATTCAGCACCAGTATTGGTACCGCAAATGTGTGGCGAGATAAAACCGTTTTGGAAATGCAAAGGAAAAAAAAAGAAAATGGTCACTGAACAATTCTAAATTTGTGTTAAATAATAGTACCACTCTCTAAATTGCCAACACGTGCGTTAAAATTATAATCATATTCATTCATGTTGTGATGGTGCAGCTTGAGTTTGATAAGCGTTTGAAAGTGTCTTTACCACCAAACTAATCTTTTGATGATGTTGCTAAAAAAAATGCACACTGGGCGGTGTAAATATAACAATATGTTGTGAACAATTTGAAAGGTCTTCTTCTTTATGTGGCATTTAGAAGATGGTAACTATGATAAAGGAGAACACTCTATAGACAGCAACCTCTTTATTGCAATAGTTGCGAGGTATTGGTGTAGATCCTGACATGGTTATCAAGCAAATGATACACAACATTATGCATAAAATATATGAAATACACAATGCCATTCAGAAAGTGGTCAAATGTAACATATGTTATATTTGGGATTACACTTTCTTTGTAAAGTACACATTTTAGTACTTTTGTTGGGTTGTGTCCCATCCGGGATTCGAACCCACACCCTCAGAGTCAGGCACCTTATCGCCAGCACACAAAGGCAGGCGCCTAGACCGCTCAGCCACCGCGGCTTCCCCTAAAATATACATATGAAGGGTATTTGAGTGTATGCAATTTGAAAGGTCGCGTTAGATAGTACCACTCTCTAAATTAGCATTGTGTGTATCAGAACTTTAATCATATATATTCATGTTGTGAAGGGTTGAAGTAACGGTGCAGACTGAGTTTGTTAAGCATTTCATAAAAGTGCCTTTACCCTAAATTTAATCTTTTCATGATGTAGTTAGACAATTGCACACTGGATGCTGAAAATACAACAATGTCTGATCAACATTACCTGTTTCTGCTTCATACAGAACATATCCTGGAGCCGAGTCACTCGTGGAGTTAGGGTTGAAGCTGACGGCGTACCCTCGACAGACAGATTCTTCTGTGTTGACTTGAAAACTAACACAGGTTTTCTCTTGGAAACAGAAGGTGGCACATTCAAGTTTCTTCGTAGAGTTCTTCTCCCACAACAGCCAGTGGAAGAAGAGCTGATTATCAAGCGTAGAAGCGTGGGTATAGTGGTGATAACCACACTCCTGAATAATACTTGTTGAATCCGCCGAATGCGTCCACCATATTGCCAGGATATATAAGTAACTTCTGGACATCCTTGTAATATTCAACGCAGTTTCTGCAGTGGCGTGTAGACCTGTGAGTGTTCCGGTGGAGACTGTACATGAGTTACTACGGTACCTTACTCGGATAGAAGACAATCAATATTCCCGCCATGTGTACGGGAATGGTATGAATATTTATGAATTAAGTTGTGCTTGACGGATCGGGACTGGCGCTATAAAACAGCACGCAGGTTTCAATGATGGGTGTTTACATCAGTAATCTGTCAAAATCACCGGTTAGATTCACTCAAGATGTGGATGCAAAATTGTTGATGACAACACAATTCTTTAACTGAACCTTGCTCAACACCATTGGAAATGTTCTTAAATACTCATTTAAAATTTGTCGTAATCGATTGTTGTCATTCAGTAAGTAAAATGCAAGTCATCATGCAAATTTGTCAAAAATGTAGTTTCATGACTAAGAACTGACATGATATCTGTACCAAATCAGTACTTATGCAATCTCTCATAGAGTACACAATATGCACTGATGGAAAAGCAAGTGGTGAAATGTCAAGGGCACTACACCGTTCAGCATGTCTAATTTATTAGAAAGACCACAACGATGAAATACAAAACGACCAGGCTGCTTATTGCCATCGAGTGTCAACATGAACAATGTTGCAGCAGAAGCCAAACATGTTATAGTCCAGAAAGTTCAGACAAGAAAAGCCCATGTTATCCTAAAGAACATTTGCAAATTTGTCGGCCCATGAAACATTGATAAAAAATACACAGAAATCATAGGTGTATATTTCCAGATTGGTCTTTGAGCAACCCTCCTTATGGCTTATTACTCTGTTTAAATTGTGCTGGTATAAACAAGCTATTATATTTCAGGAGAAGGTTGGTCTTCAGGAGTGTCACCAAAATAATGTTTAATGTAATGTCTTGTTTTTACTTGTATCATATTTCAGCGTTGGCTCAGGTTAACACTTGGCTTGCGTTTGTACGTCTGCTGCAGATTTCTCACGATGGGCAAGTTACGTCACGTATATTAGGTTGTTAGGTATATGTACATGTAGTTATATTTCTGTAATTAGAAGTGGGGCCTAACAGACAGGTCCAATATTTTAAGCTAGTTCAGAGTTTCAGTTTTGCATTCACGCCATCAAACTTACCCTTTGAATGTTTTAGATGAGGAGGCTGATCATATCGTTGTCATGTTGTGATGTCATTGTTAGTTTTCGTATTAATAATTTGGACTTATTTCAGAAGAAGGGGGTAGGGGGTGGAGGCGGTGAGGTAGCCTAGTGGTTAAAGCGTTCGCTCCTCACGCCGAAGGCCCGGGTGCGATTCCACACATGGGTACAATATATGAAATTTCTAGTGTCGCCCGCCGAGAAATCCTGGCATATAGCGTAGCGTGGCGTGAAGCTAAAACTCACTCATTCACTCAGAAGAAAAGACGTTGGGGTAGCCTTGTGCTCAAAGCGTTCGTCACGTCAAGGACCCGGGATTTATTCCCAACGAGGCTAAGATTTCTAGTGTCCACCGCTGTGATATTTCCTGGAATATGTTAATTCATCACCACAGTTAAAATCCAGACATGTAATACCCTAGGTCTACTGTACTTTTTGATGGTATTAGAAAATATCAAATTCAACATATGCAACTACGTCACTGGGTTTGTACATTATCTTTAAAGAATAGGGTTAATTACAGACCAATCCTGCCAATGTAGTTTTGTGCAAAATTCTCATCTGTATTTGTTTGAATGTTCATTATACAAACAGCGTCGAAAAAACTTTTAAAGCTATTCAAGATTTTTGTGATTCATTACGTTGTCTCTTTTTAAAAACTTTATTGTAGATCTGACAAATCAGTAAATTGGGGTGACTTGGTTGACACTGTCATCCCAATTGCGTCAATAGTTGACCTCCGCCACAGAGTTAGAATACTGCTGAGTGCTGAATTAAACAACAAACAAACATGTTTATTTAAGCAAATCAAAACTATTTCAGTAGTTACACTTTCTCTGTCAGTCTTTCTCTGTGCCTAGAGTCTCTAACAAATGATTGTAATCAAATTTGTGAATATTCCTGGAGAGTGGTTTTATCAGTCCCCGATCCTTTTCGCATTGTGAATAAAGCGTGTTTAAACTAATGCCAGCAAAACTAATGATGTCATCCATGCGATATTACAATCTGTTCTTGTGTTTAAATCGTAAAGATATAAAATTAAAATATTGGCCAACAATAACATCAGTTTAATATGTTTATGTGTGATGATAGGCTGGATACAGACTGAGGGTGCCTCTCAACAAGGGGACATATGTATACGTGAACGTTAATCAAGCACCATCCACCTAACTGTTTATGCTTTGAAAATCCAATTCCGTGTATTAGAACGGTAACAGAAACATATTTTGCTATGATTAAAACAAAAAAGAAACGTGAAATTGAAATAGTACAGAATATAATGTGCTTTCAAAAAAAGATCTTCCCATTAGCAAGATTCCTCTAACGCTTAGCATAAAGGGCATCAAAGAAACATACAATCATAAAGTCGAGCCTAATTGATGTAGAGCTTTGTATTTATACATCCACATCTACAGAGTGCAGGCACATTCTGACAACATGCTCGAATGGAGGAAATCACAATACCTCAAAAGGCTGAGATATTAAAATTGGTTCCATGATCAATAATGATATTATGTTTTTGGTTAAAGAAAGTAAAGAACGTATTGACTGTGTGGCAGCTAAAAGGAAACCACGCGCAGGCATCCGTTTGCATCACGCAAGCACACTGTGTTATATCACCACAGGCCTTTGCATTGACAGATAGGTTTACTTCCGGGCGGCCTTCTCTAGTTTTCTTCTCAACCTCAGTCAGCAAGAGAGCGGGTGGGCTAAAATCATTTCTAAACTGTTTCGACTTATTGTGTAAATTATTTGTAAAAGCTGTAATTTATAATCACTAATGAACAGGCGTTAAATTAATTGATGATGAAGATCGAGTCGCTTTGCTTTGCAAGCATTTTTACAAAGTCAGCCATCTAAGTTTTAAACCCCTCATGACTTTCTGTGTTGGTGATTAGGTGCGTGACTCTGAGGGTGTGGGTTCGAATCCCGGATTGGACACTCAACCCAACAAAAGTACTAGAATGTGCACTTTACTGTCCGTGAGAAGGTGTAAATCCCAATATAACATGTGTTACATTTGACCACTTTCTAAATGGCATTGTGTATTCACAGACATGTATATATGCTATAGGAAATATGCATAATCAGTAAATATGTATAACTACTGAAAATTTCAGTAATTATGTATAATGTCTGATTCACTCAGGAATTAGGTATATTTACTGAAATTTTCAGTAATTATACATAATTCGTGAAATTTAAGAAACAAAATTATACATATTTACTGAAATCATTTGAATGACTGAAATATTGATATTACTCTTAAAGTCAGTCTGGTATTTATAGATATGCCTTCATTTTTAGGAACAAGGTACAGCACATTGATTTTCATGAATTTTATTTCATTGTGTTCATGAATTTGTATTTGAACATGGGAGTGTTGAGTTACACCTAGAACTACATTGAATCTTTGCCTTGTAACACTTGCAGCGATTGGTCTGACAACGCTTTGAGCCAGCACAGTTGCATTTAGTGAAACCTTGTCCACTACAGTAAGAGTGTTGATGAACAGCATGCCGAAGGGAAATGGGTTTCTCAATGTTGAAGTCATCTGCAGAGTACAGTCTCGTAACACACATGTCGAATTGGTTACCAGCTTCCTATATACCACTTTTCACTGCTATAGTACACATTTCGCTGTCACTGCACTCAATCACAACACCTGAATGGCTTCTTGGTTGGATGAAATGGCATCTGGTTGACTTTCTCTTCAGTAATCTTCAGGATGTCAGTCGGCAAGCTAGTTGATGTCAATCCAGTGCGAGCGTCAGACCCAAACAGCGCCGCAAATGCAAATCGCCTCATTCCGGTATGGAGACTGGAGTTCTTCTGAAATTGAACGAACTTTAGTACCAAAATCCAATCACTTGTATCATTATCACCAATCCAAGCAGCAAGCATATCCTTGATGTCACAATTTGCCCTTTCTACAGAACCTTGACTTTGGGGGTGTCTTGGTTTTCCATGTACCATCACCAAAAATCTTCAGCTCAGAAATAACCTGGGCAGTAAATCCAGACATATTGTCACTTTGAAGAACGCATGGGGCACCTAAGAGGAGGAAGATGTCAAAAAGCTGATACGCCACTTCTGCTGCGCGTTTAGAAGTCAGTGGCCGCAATACACAAAACTTAAGTCTTGGATTGCATGTCGATAAGATCGACTTGTGCTCTGGAGTTGAAGTCTTTGGAGATGACTGGCTTTACTACGGTCCCTTTTGTTGTAGCTCTCTTACGCTTCCGCTGGCATTCAACACACAAGTTCTTGAAGAGGGTCGATGCGTCAATGGTTATGTCTGCGTACTTTTTGGACAGTTCATGAACCATTCTGTCCCGTCCCCCATGGCCCGTCGCAATGTGACCCCGTTTGACAACTTCATCGGTCTCTTCTATGGAAATGAAGTACAGGGGTGTTTCTTCTTCATGCTGACGTCTTCTTATCAGTCTGTTAATGTCACCACACGGAAGAACCTCATACTTCTTAAGAAGATAATACTGATGAGAAGTCTTCTTGGAGGTCTTGGATGCTTCTGGGAGGTCGCTGATGATCTTATAGTATTCTTCCTTTGGTATCAGAACTCGTTTGTTCGTCTCATAAATCTTGAAAAGTCCTTCTATGTTGTGACTGAACTACACTAAGCCTTTGATCCTGCTGTATTTTATATACCATAAGAAGATATATCTATGAAAATCTGACTGACTTTAAATGTAATATCAGTATGTCAGTAATTGAAATGATTTCAGTAAATATGAACAATTTTGTTTCTTAAATTTCAGGAATTACGTATAATAGGTGAGAGAGCCTAAGAGGTAGAAACTTATTGTGAAGATACGGGTTACAATTGATCTTTTGTAACCCATGCTTGTCGAAAGAGGCGACTCACGACTTATA